TACATTATCACATAATAATTGATAAGTTTTTCGACAATATCACTTACACACCTAACCAACTGCAGCAAGTCTTAGAGAACTAAGAGCTTTAAGGACTAAATAAAATATCACGTTAATAATTAAACATTTCTYGATATTGCTTCTTGGCTGAACACAGTCATATCACGATTTTTGAGTGGCAACCTAATCAAATAGGTATCTCTAATCTTTGTCTATACTTGTCGATAGTTACAAAGTTAATTTTGGTTAAACTGGTGTCTATATTATGCGTACCTATATTATATCATAATATATAAAATTTATATGCATGATGCCCCACCAGTCGTCGACTGCAAAACGAAAGGTTATATATATATTTATAGGTAAAACAAAACAATGTACTATTTTAATAGATAGCAGTACCTAGGTAACTTTAAATAAACCAACACGGTTTAATATTTTATAATTGATGATGCTGCACGTTTTAATTACGCTACGAGATGTGCTAATTGTTGTTGAATTCAAATATAATCAGCAGCCATAAAGTATTAAAAAAAGAAMAATATTAATTGTTCGGTTCAAAGTCTCTATTAAATTATAGATTAGCATTTTTTTTAGTCAATACTTATGTTTAAAATATAATATGTATGTAAATGACACTTAATAATACTTAACTACTATATTATTAGGGAGCTAGGTGAATTGGATGAAAAATTGAGTTGTATTTTTAAAATTTTATCGTTATTAAAACCATTAATAAAATAAAATGTTTATATTTCGAAAATTAAACGGGTTGGCTACGATGAAAATTATGGATTCCAAAAATATATCGAAACAAAATAAAATTCTTTAATAATTTTAAAACAACAAGTCGTTCCGATACCATTAATTCAAATAATATAAAATATATAATTTAATRCAATGAAATATTAAGTCTATTATTAATGTTCTGTAAGCTTCCATAAACTCAAATTTCCAACTTTTTAAACTTTAATCATCGTTTCAGTATTACGCGTAGTAAGTTATCAAACATAAAATAGATTTCACAAGTCTAAGCCACAGAATCAATGTTTAACGTTTAGAATTTTTCAATATTTTAATGTATTATCAGAATTTTATTTTTACTAATCATAATGATTTATATTCACACTGGATATGATAACTTGAACTTCACCCCGAAATTGTATTAATATAAATGCTATTTTACATAGGTATAATTAATTGATATATGGTACAGTCTTACATGTTTAAATTAACCATTCAACAGAAATCAACTGCTGCTATAACCTTTTATATTGCACGTATAAACGATAACCATATTACCAACTATCAAGATTTAAAAAAAAAATTGATGTATCAATAATAATTTTATAAGCATCAATATTTTATCGTAGCTCCTCAGTATCATATCAAGTGGAATTTGACATGTACATATTCGCTTTTGCTGAAATAATATATGTA